TTTGTATTTTTAGTAGAGACGGGGTTTCACCGTGTTGACCAGGATGGTCTCGATTTCTTGACCTCGTGATCCACCCGCCTCGGCCTCCCAAAGTGGTGGGATTACAGGCTTGAGCCACCACGCCCGGATAGATTCTTTTTTTTTTTTTGACAGAGTCTCGCTCTGTTGCCCAGGCTGGAATGCGATCTCAGCTCACTGCAACCCCCGCCTCCCAGGTTCAAGCGATTCTCCTGCCTCAACTTCCGGAGTAGCTGGGATTACAGGCGCCTGCTACCACACCCAGCTAATTTTTGTAGTTTTTTAGTAGAGTCGGCTAGGCAAACATGACGTCAGGTGATCCACCTGCCTCCGCCTCCCAAAGTGCTGGGATTACAGGTGTAAACCACCGTGCCCGGTAAAGGGGTAAACCACCACGCCCGTCCGCTAGTCCTTGGTTTTGTTTGTTTGTTTGTTTTGAGATAGAGTCTTGCTCTGTCCCCCAGGCTGGAGAGCAGTGGCGCAATCTCGGCTCACTGCAACCTCCGCCTGATTACTCTGCCTCAGCCTCCTGAGTAGCTGGGACTACAGGCGCGTGCCACCACGCCTGGCTAATTTTTGGTATTTTTAGTAGAGACGGGGTTTCACCATGTTTGTTGGTCAGGCTGGCCTCGAACTCCTGACCTAGTGATCCGCCCGCCTCGGCCTCCCAAAATACTGGGATTACAGGCGTGAGTCACCGCGCCGGGTAAAGGGGTGAGCCACCACTCTTGGCCAGAGTTCTTGTTCTTAATCACTATGCTGCTTTATAAAGTCAAGGGACCTGGTGCACATCCCTGCTCTGCTGAGTGATATCTTGCAAGGGCTTCCCTACTCATAGCCTCAGTCTGCCCTCTGTAAAATGGGAGAATGATGGCAAGTTACTTACCGTGGGGGTGGAGAGAGCGAAGCTAGACACTCCCTCTCCCACCCCGCCTCCGGAGGCGACGCAAACCTCCAGTCAAGATATGGGGCATGTGGGCGGGGCTCCGGTGAAGGGGCGTGGCCGGAGCTTCCTGGTCCAATGGGGGGCGGAGGCGGGGCCCGGGGCCCTCCTCCCATCTCTGTCCAGCACGCGTGCTCGCCTCGCAGTTCCATCTACCTCGCGGGTGCCTCTGGTGTCCCCAGAGGTCTCCGACCCCAGCCCGCCCCCAGCCCTCCCGCCCAGCCCGCAGCCCCCTCCCTCTATTCTCCAACCTCAGCCCCTGGCCCTCGGACCTCGACATCATGGGTGACGCAGAAGGCGAGGACGAGGTCCAGTTCCTGCGAACAGTGCGTATCTCTGGGTTAGGGAGTCTGTGGAGCTGTCTCTCGGGGCTGTCTGAGGGTCTTTCTGTCTCTGAATGTCCCTGTCCGGCTTGCTGATGGCCTCTGGGATTCGAGGTCTCTTCCTGTGTCACTTTGAGTGACTGTCACTCTGTCTTTTAGTCTCCTTCACCTTTCTCACTGCAGAGAATTAGCAGGATTGGGGACTCCAGAATGAGGAGGGGGGATCTTGGGTTGCCCTCCCTTCTGACATTAGCGATTTGTCCCCCACAAGAAGGACCCCTGAGAGAGCACCCCCTCCCACCATCCTGGAAGCAGGCACTTGGGGAAGGTGGTTCTAATTCCTGGGCTTAATTTAGCCATCCCCCACCCCCACCTTAGCCCTAATTCTCTTTTTGCTCCAGACTGGACCTATTTAAATTCTTGGGAAGGGGGCTGGGGTAGGCTGAAGGACACAGCTCCTTCCAATTCCTAGCCCTTGAGGGTCTCCTGAAGGAGGGATCTCTTGGGTACTGGGTCTTTCTTTCCTTCTTCGTTTTGGGCAGGAGGGCTGCTCCCAATGGTTGCTAACGGTGTTGGAGGGCCTTTGGGTAGTGTCTCTCCCTATCTGTTTCTTTGGGTTGTCTCCATGTCTCTGTCTCTCCCTCCATCTCAGTCTCCCTGTCTCTGTCTCTGCTCTTTGGCTTCAGGCCCTCTGATTTTCGCTGTCTCTCTAGCTGGGTCACTCCCTGAATCTCTGAGCCCCAGCTGGGGGCAGGGATGGGAATTGGAACAACAGGTGTCCCTCCCAGAATAGCCAGCCCGCTTTTCTGGGGCCTGGGCAGGGGATGGGGAGGGGACCAGAGTGAGGAGGGGCTGCCATCTCCCAGTCCTTTCCACCTTCCCCTCCCAGTGGCTCCTCAGGGTGTGGGGCCATGAGTATGGGAGGGGACGTCCTCTCCTCTGGGCTAGGTCTGCTGACCTGGCGCTAGCCCCGCCCCTCCCCCGGGGCCCTGGAGCCACGCAGGAAATGCTGACACAGCATTCCGGCCCCAGAATAGGACCCTGGCGAGCCGGGTCCGGTTTCCTGGGAGAGAGGAACAAACAGCTGGGGCTGGTAGTGAAGGATGGGGACAGCTGGGAGGGGGCCTAGTTTCGGCCTAGACTCTCTCCCCAGCCCCAGTCCCTTAGCAGACACCATGGGTTGGGACCTCCCCAGCCCTAATAAGACCATGGCCATGGCCACGGGCCCTTGAGCTGTCACTCTAAGCCAGGCCCTGTGCCCTGGGCCTCCGCCTCCTGAGACCTCTAATTATATCCTCGCTGCCCTGTCTTCTGAGGTAGGGTCCTATCTTTATCTCCCTGAGAGATTTGAGGGAAACCAAGGCCTGAACCGTAGAATCACTCACCCAAGGTCAAGGCCAGGAAGTGGCATCTCTGGATGCCCTGATGCCCAGCCCCTTGCCTACACCAGAGGAAAACTGGTCTCAGACTTGCCAAAGTCAGTGTTAGGGTTCTAGAGGCTTGGCCCTGGAATCTCTCAGCCCCAGACTGGGCCAGTTTTTCTGAGTGTTACTGAGGTCATGGTGGATTTTTCAAAGCTTTTTGGAGGCCAGACACAGTGGCTTACACCTGTGATCCCAGCACATTGGGAGGCTGAGGTGGGCAGATCACTTGAGGTCAGCAGTTTGAGACCAGCCTGGCCAACATGGCGAAACTCCGTTTCTACTAAAAATACAAAAAAGAAAAATTAGTCAGGCGTGGTGGTGCATGCCTGTAATCCTAGCTACTTGGGAGACTGAGGTGGGAGGATTCTTTGAACCTGGGAGGCAGAGGTTGCAGTGAGCTGAGATTATGTCACTGCACACTCCGGCCTGGGTGATAGAATGAGACTCTGTCTCAAAAAAAAAAAAAAAAAACACCTTTTGGACCACATCCCACCCATAAGAAACATATTCTGTCTTACAACTCAGTACATGCACCCATGCATAGACATGATTAAAAATCAACTTTATTGAGGTATAATTGATCTGCAATGAATTTTACCCATTTTATGTGTTCAATAAGTTGTTTTTTTTTTTTTTTTTTTTCTTTTTTTTTATGAGGCAGAGTTTCGAGCTTATTGCCCAGGCTGGAATGCAATGGTGCAATTGCAGCTCGCTGCAACCTCTGCCTCTTGAGGTTCAAGCAATTCTCTTGCCTCAGCCTCCGGAGTAGCTGGGATTATAGGCACCTGCCACCATGCCAGGTGAATTTTTTGTAGTTTAGGTTTCACCATGTTGGCCAGGCTGGTCTTGAACTCCTGACCTCAGGTGATCCACCCACCTTGGCTTCCCAAAGTGGAGTTGTCTCCATGTCTCTGGGATTACAGGCATGAGACACCGCACCCCGCTGAGTTTTGACAAATTGTACATGCCCATGTAACCACGAGCAAAACCAAGGCGTAGAATGTTTCCTTTACCCAGAAGTTCCCTCATGCTCTGTTCAGTAACCACCCTCTCCACCAACTTATACCGTGACCCATTCTATTAGTCACTTCTAAGTTTTCATGTCTTTTGGCTTTTTTTTTTTTTAAAGAGTCTTGCTTTGTTGCCTAGGCTGGAGTGCAGTGATGTGATCTTGGTTCAATGCAACCTCCACTTCCCAGGCTCCAGTGAGCCTCCCACCTCAGCCTCCCGAGTAGCTGGACTACATGTGCACAGCACCATGCTTGGCTAATTTGTAAAATTTTTTGTAGAAGTGAGGTCTCACTATAGTGCCCAGGCTGATCTTGAACTCCTAGGCTCAAGAAATCCTCTGGCCTTGGCCTCCCGAAGTTTTGGGATTACAGGCATGAGCCATCGTGCCCTACCTTCTTCCTTCTTTTACTCAGCAGATATATACATATCTAGATAGATAGATATTCTTTGTTTATTTTTTGTTGTTTTTGTTTGTTTGTTTTTGGTGGTGGTGTTGAGACAAAGTCTTGCTCTGTCGTCCAGGCTGGAGTGCAGTGGCGTGATCTCAGCCCACTGAAATCTTCGCCTCCCGGGTTCAAGCGATTCCCCTGCCTCAGCCTCCCAAGTAGCTGGGACTATAGGCGCACACCACCACGCCTGGCTAATTTTTTGTATTTTAGTAGAGACAGGGTTTCACCATGTTGGCCTGGGTGGTGTTGATCTCCTGACATTGTGATCCACCCACCTCAGCCTCCTAAAGTACTGGGATTACAGGCGTGAGCCACCGCGCCCCGCCTACTCAGCATAATAGTTTTGACATTCATCCACGTAGCTTGTATTGAGTTCGTTGCTTTTTGTTGCTGAGTAGTATTCCATGTGCGACCATACTGTGGTGTGTTTATCAGTTCACCTGCTGAGGGACATTTGAGTTGTTTCCAGTTTTTGCTATTATGGACAACACAGGGCCTGTGACCATTCACACATACCTATTTTTAACTGAAACAAGTCTCATAAAATGTAGATGGCCCCTGAAGTATGACAGCACGTTGTTATTTTCTATTCTTTCTCCATTTTGTTTCACTTGGTTAGGTGTGATGGCTACAGCCCCCCAAACTGATTTCATTTCCCTTTAGTGGGTGGTGACCTCTACCCCTACCCAGGCTGGGGCTTCTCAAAGCTAGTTAGAAGCCCATGGGGGCTGGTTAACAGTACGAATTCCCTGCTGACCCCAAATCAGGCTCTTGACAGTGGAGGGGGACTGGGCCAGCAGGGAAGCTACAGAAGCCACTTACTCCCTTCTTTTTTTTTTTTGTGACAGAGTCTCATTGTGTCACCCAGGCTGGAGTGCAGTGGTGCGATCTCAGCTCACTGCAACCTCTGCCTCCGGGCTTCAAGCGATTATTCTGCCTCAGCCTTCCAAGTAGCTGGGACTACAGGTGCACGCCACCACGCCCGGCTAATTTTTGTGTTTTAAGTAGAGACAGGGTTTCACCATATTGGCCAGGCTGGTCTCAAACTCTTGACCTTGTGATCCACCCACCTTGGTCTCCCAAAGTGCTGGAATTACAGGCGTGAGCCACCATGCCTGGCAACAGTTTTTTTTTTTTTTTAGACGGAGTCTTACTCTGTTGCCCAAGCTGGAGTGCAGTGGTGATCTCAGCTCACTGCAACCTCCACCTCCTGGGTTCAAGTGATTCTCCTGCTTCAGCCTCCCTCCCTCAGGCATGTGCCACCATGCCTGGCTAATTTTTGTACCTTTAGCAGAGATGGGGTTTCACCATGTTGACCATGTTGGCCAGGCTGGTCTCCATCTCCTGACCTCAAGTGCTCTGCCCACCTTGGCCTCCCAAAGTGCTCAATTAGAGGCCTGAGCCACCACACCCAGCCTCACTTCATTCTAATTCAGGAAAAGTTTGAGAATCAATAAGGTAATGCCTAGACCCCCTGTCTCTGCTTTGCATCCTGGCTTTGCCATTTGTCTGCTTCCTAATTTGGGGCAAATGATTTTTTTTTTTTTTTTAGACGGAGTTTCGCTCCTTACCCAGGCTGGAGTGCAACGGCGCAGTCTCGGCTCATCGCAACCTCTGCCTCCTGGGTTCAGGCAATTCTCCTGCCTCAGCCTCCTGAGTAGCTGGGATTACAGGCATGTGCCACCATGCCAAGCTAATTTTTTGTATTTTTTAGTAGAGACGGGGTTTCACCATGTCGACCAGGATGGTCTCGATCTCTTGACCTCGTGATCCACCAGCCTCGGCCTCCCAAAGTGCTAGGATTACAGGCTTGAGCCACCGCGCCCTGCCTGGGGCAAATGATTTTTATTTTTCTCTCTGAACCTCAGTGTTCTCATCTGGAAAATGGGGACAAGCATATATACAAGAGCCAGACCCCGTGGCTCACACCTGTCATCCCTTCGCATGGGGAGGCTGAAGCAGGAGGATTGCTTGAGGCCTGGAGTTCAAGAACAGCCTGATCAACATAGGGAGACCTTGTCTTTACCAAAAATACCAAACTTTAGCTGGGTGTGGCAGTGCGCACCTGTAGTCCCAGCTACTCTGGAGGCTGAGGTGGGAGGATCACTTGAACCCAGGAGGTGGAGGTTGCGGTGAGCTATGATTGTGCCACTGTACTCCAGCTGGGGCAACGGAGCTAGATCCCGTGTCTACCCTACCCAGGCATGAGAAACCCACCAAAGGGAAATGAAATCAGTTTTGTGGGGCTGTGGCCATCACACTTAACCAAGTGAAACAAAATGGAGCAAGAATAGAAAAATATGTATGTTTTAATTTAGCTGGGCATGGTGGCCAGAGCCTGCAGTCATAGCTTCTCAGGAGGCTGAATGGAGAGGATCACTCAGCCCAGGAGTCCGAGGCTGCAGTGAGCTATGATTGCACCACTGCACTCCACCCTGGGAGACAGAGTGAGACTCAGCCTCTTAAAATAAATAAATAAATAAAAAAGGGCCAGGCGCCGTGGCTCATGTACCAGGCACAAATAACACTTTGGGAAGCTGAGGCAGGCGGATCACGAGGTCAGGAGATGGAGAGCAGACTGGCCAGCATGGTGAAACCCCACTCTACTAAAAATACAAAAGTTAGCTGGGCATAGTGGTGCACACCTATAATCCCAGCTAGTTGGGAGGCTGAGGCAGGAGAATCGCCTGAACCTGGGAGGCGGAGGTTGCAGTGAGCCGAGATTGCGCCACTGCACTCTGGCCTGGGCAACAGAGCGAAACTCTGTCTCAAAAAAAAAAAAAGAGATTCAGGGCGACGGACTTTCCATCCCAGAACCATGGCCCAATTTATCTGTAACCTTGTGGAGAAGACCCCGGCGCTGGTGAACGCTGCTGTGACTTATTTGAAGCCTCAGTTGGCCACATTTCGGTACTACGCCAAGGTTGAACTGATTCCTCCCACCCCTGCTGAGATCCCTAGAGCTATTCAGAGCCTGAAAGAAATAGTCAAGAGTGCTCAGACTGGTAGCTTCAAACAACTCACAGTTGAGGAAGCTGTGCTGAATGGTTTGGTGACCACTGAGGCGCTGATGTAGTTTTATGTCAGAGAGATCATAGGCAAGCGTGGCATCATTGGCTGTGATGTTTGAAGACCAATCTTTAACATCTGGTTATATTTGATTTATTATTTGAGTGTTGTTGGACCATGTGTGATCAGACTGCTATCTGAATAAAATAAGATGTGTTAAAAAAAAAAAAAAAAAGAAAAGAAAGATTCAAGAGCTCATGCAAGTTTCACATAAGGTGAGTCTGCCTCCGGTTTCAGGGATATGTTGGTGTTTGTAATATCTCTCTGACCTCATCTCCTCCCTGCTTGCCCCTCCCCAGTGCGGCCACCATCCTGCTGTCTCCTGTGCTGTTCCTCAACTCCCTGGCACCCACCAGCCACAGGCCTTGGCCCAGACTCCCCGCTCTTGCCCCAGAGACGAGCAGGCGTGATTCCTTCTTGTTATTTGGACAAGGCTCAGCTCAAATGTCACCTCCTTGGAGAGGCTGTCACCTCACTCCCTCACTGATCTCATCCCCATCCCAAAAGCCACTCTCTTACATCACCCTGGGTTATTTTTTCCATAACACCTATCACTGACATTAACATTGCATATTAATTCACCTGTTTATTGCCTGTCTCCACTAGGAGGATTTAAGTTCCCTGAGGGCAGTGATCTTTTTTCTTTCTTTCTTTTTTTTAAATTTTTTATTTTGTATTTTTGTAGAGATGGGGGGATCTCATTATGTTTCCCATGCTGGTCTCAAACTTCTGAACTTAAGCAATCCTTCCGCCTCAGCCTCCCAAACTGCTGAGATTACAGGTGTGAACGACCGCGTCCAGCCAGGGCGAGGATCTTGATCTTCACTTACTGTATTTACTTTATTCACTGCTCTATGTTCAGTGCCCAGAGCAGCGTCTGGCCCGTAGCAGATGGTCAACCAGGATCTGTTAAATGAGTGAAAGGCCCAGGGCATAAGGTCTGGGAGCCAGTAAAGTGCTTAACAAATACAAGCTGTATGATTACTTTGGTTTGTTTGTTTGTTTGTTTTTGAGATGGAGTCCCGCTCTGTCACCCAGGCTGGAGCACGGCGGCATGATCTCAGCTCACTGCAACCTCTGCCTCCTGGATTCAAATGATTCTCCTGCCTCAGCCTCCCGAGTAGCTGGGAGTACAGGTGCACACCACCATACCAGGCTGCTTTTTGTTTTTTTAAGTAGAAACAGGTTTCACCATGTTGATCAGGCTGGTCTTGAACTCCTGACCTCAAGTGATCCACCTGCCTTGGCCTCCCAAAGTGCTGGGATTACAGGTGTGAGCCACAGTGCCTGGACTCAACAGTGTCCTTTATGATACTCCCCGGATCCAGCCCGGGCTCTCACGTTGCATTCAGATGCCATTAGAAAGCAGCCTATAAATGAAGATAAAATAGCAGTCTGTTATTAAAACAACACACAAAAGAGAGCATTTAGAGAAAGATAAGCTTAAAAAAAACAACGGCCGGGCGCCGTGGCTCACGCCTGTAATCCCAGCACTTTCGGAGGCCGAGGTGGGTAGATCACGAGGTCAGGAGTTCACGACCAGCCTGGTCAACATGTGAAACCCTGTCTCTACTAAAAATTCAAAAATTAGCTGGGCATGATGGCAGGTGCCTGTAATCCCAGCTATTTGGGAGGCTGAGGCAGGAGAATTGCTTGAACCCAGGAGGTGGAGGTTGCAGTGAGCCAAGATTGCAACATTGCACTCCAGCCTGGGTGACAGAAACTGTATCAAATAAATAAATAAGTAATAAAATAGGCCGGGCACTGTGGCTTACGCCTGTAATCCCAGCACTTTGGGAGGCCGAGGCGGGTGGATCACGAACTCAGGAGTTCGAGGCCAGCCTGACCAACTTGGTGAAACCCCCGTCTCTACTAAAAATACAAAAATTAGTCAGGCATGGTGGCGGGTGCTACATCCCAGCTACTCAGTAGGCTGAGGCAGGAGAATTACTTGAACCTGGGAGGTAGAGGTTGCAGTGAGCCGAGATCATGCCACTGCATTCCAGCCTGGGCAACAAAGTGAGACTCTGTTTCAAAAAAATAAAAATAAATAAAATAAATGGGATGACACTGGCTTGTATCTCATAGAGATGTCGGGATCAGGTAGAGGGCGTGTGTGGATGGATATTGTCAGTCACTGTCTGTTTCACAAGGACAAGGGTGGGAGGCAGGGCCCATGGTCTGCAGTGTCTGCGGTGTCCCGGCCAGGCACCCCTGCAGCCCCTGCCCCTCCATTCCGCAGGATGATGAGGTGGTCCTGCAGTGCAGTGCCACCGTGCTCAAGGAGCATCTCAAGCTCTGCCTGGCCGCCGAGGGCTTTGGCAACCGCCTGTGCTTCCTGGAGCCCACCAGCAACGCCCAGGTCTGTGCAGCAGGGAGAGGGCCTGGGGACTTGGGGTCTGATGGGGCAGAGAATCTTCGGTCCAAAGAAGAGGGTTCTGGGCGTCTGAAAGGGGGTGCTGATAGGACAGAACGTGGGGAGGGGGGCTAAGGCTAAGAGGGGCTACCTGAGATGGGGAGGGGGGCTAAGGCTAAGAGGGGCTACCTGAGGTGGGGAGGGGTGGAGGCCTGAGGCGGGGCAGGGGGTGGGGTGTGGGAGGGGCTTCCTGTGTGCACAGAGGTGTGGGAGGCGAGGGCGGGGGCTCCTGATCCAGAACTTTCCTTGGCAGGTGGCTGAGTGGGCAGAAAGCCTCGGGGTTTTTTTGTTTTGTTTTGTTTTTGAGGTGGAGTCTCGCTCTTGTCACCCAGGCTGGAGTGTAGTGGCACCATCTTGGCTCACTACAACCTCCGTCTCCCGGATTCAAGCGATCCTCCTGCCTCTGCCTCCTGAGCATCTGGGATTACAGGCGCCTGTCACCACGCCTAGCTAACTTTTGTACTTTTGGTAGAGACAGGGTTTCGCCATGTTGTCCAGGCTGGTCTCAAACCCGTGAGCTCAGGTGATCTGCCTGCCTCAGCCTCCCAAAGTGGTGGGGTTACAGGTGTGAGCCACTGCCCCCAGCCAAGTCTCAGGTTTAACGGGAAGTGACCTGAGGGTCCGGAAGAAGGGCTGGTTGGGGGACAGGGGTCTCGGGAGGGAGGGGCAGGGAGACTGAGGCATGGGGGATGGGAGGGACCAGGCAGAAGACCTGGAGTGCCAGGAGGAGGGGTCTGAGGTGTTTGATTTTTATTGTTATTTTTTTGGGGACAGAGTCTCGCTGTGTCCTCCAGGCCGGAGTGCAGTGGTGCAATCTCAGCTCATGGCAACCTCTGCCTTCCAGATTCAAACGATTCTCCTGCTTCAGACTCCTGAGTAGCTGGGATTACAGGTGTCTGCCACCACACCCGGCTAATTTTTGTATTTTATTTTTATTTTTAAATTTTTTTTTACATTTTTTAAAAACATTTTTTAGAGATGGGGTTTCACCATATTTGCTAGGCTGGTTTTGAATTCCTTACGTCAGGTGATCCACCCACCTTGGCCTCCCAAAGTGCTGGGATTACAGGCGTGAGCCACCTCGCCTGGTGGGATTTTTTTTTTTTTTTTTTTTTTTTTTTTTTTTCAAGTAACAAAACTGAAGCATTTCGGGTCGTTCTAGGGGACGGAGTCCCATGGTGGAGGCGGGGGGAGGATGGGAGGACAGGGCCTCAGTTGCGGAGGGTGTAGGGCATCCGACGGGGGTCGGGGCTGGCAGAGCAGAGGGACATGGAATCTGATGGGGGAGGAAGTTTCAGAGTCTGAGCGAGAGGGTCCGAGGAGCCGAGTCTTGAGTTTAGGAGTCGGAGGGTGGGGGACTGAGGAGGAAATTTAGGGTGGGCGCCCTCCTGTGTCTGTGAAGCAGAGTTCAGAGGTGTTTGAAGGAAAAGGCAGGAGCAAGGACTATCTGATGGTGGAGGCAGGAGGCGGAACTTCCTTTGGGAAGGGATGTGGGGTCTTTGGAGGATGTGGGGTCTTCAGCAGAGGAGGACACAGAACAGGAGCTTCCTGTCCTTGGAGCAGAGTTAGCGTGTCTTAGCGGGGAGGCATGGGGCTGAGGCTTCCTGTGAGATTAGGTGGGACACGGGTCCTTGATTGGGGAGGGTTAGGGTTAGAGAAGCTTCTAGGGAGTCTGGGTGGGGTTGAGGTGTCTGAGAGAGGAGGCACAGAAGAGGTATTTTTGTGATGTTGATGCAGATTCAGTGTGTCTGATGGGGGTGGCAGAGGGCTGGGCTTTCCTGTGGGGTGGGGGTGGGGTCAGGAGTGGGCATTCAGACTGGGGGAGGGAGTGTGGCAGGGAATGGTACTCAGGGGTCTCCTGGCCCCTTATTCACATCCTCCACCTGCCCCAGAATGTGCCCCCCGATCTGGCCATCTGTTGCTTCGTCCTGGAGCAGTCCCTGTCTGTGCGAGCCCTGCAGGAGATGCTGGCCAACACGGTGGAGGCTGGCGTGGAGGTGAGGACCCTACCTGGGGGCGACCAGGGTGGCAGAGATGGGCGAGAGAACCTGGGGGTCGTTTAGGGCACGGTGGCAGGGATGGGGGAGAGGACCCAGGGGTTGCTTACCATCTGCTCTTCTTCCTCTCTCTGCCCTGCCCCCCACAGGCCCTCAATTTGGATAAGTGGGTAGGTCTGGCCTTGGATGTCACCTGTCCTTCTGCCCCTCCTGACCCCAGGCCCACCTCTCGGGTCCACGCCCTGCACATTGGGGCTAGAGGGTCCTCCCTCGCCCCAGCTGTCAGGGGCTGTGGAACCCAGAACAGGCCAGGCAGGCAGGCAGGAAGGAAGGCGATAGGGGCTTCTGAACCCCTGTCCCCTACGCCTGCTCCTTTCTCCTCTTTCCTGTCCTTTCCCCCAACCCTGATCCCAGCTCCTCTCCGCATGGGACCTCCCCCCCACCTGCCCCATCCAAAGCGTGAGTCCCTTTGGTCCAGGAGTGGGTCCACCATGTGATCACCTGACCCCATCACATGGTGCCCCCATGGCAGCCTCGGAGCATGGGCATGTGACAGCCATGATGGGAGGCATGGGGACATCGAGCAGTCAGATGTCTGCCCCCAGGGCCGAGTCGCCTTGTGCTGGGGAGGGGCAGCTGTCTTATCACTGTAGTGACGTTAGCCGATAGAACCACTGCTAGGCCTGTCCTGGAACACACGGGCTGCAGCTCAGCATGGTGGGGGAGGTCAGAGCGAGGGGCTGAGGTCCACTGAGCCTGGGGCTGTCCTGAGTATCCCCGGGAAACTAGAAGATGGGTTCGTCCTTCTGAGTGACTTCCGGCCAAGGTGAAGGGAGCAGAGAGGACAAAGTGGGCTTTGCGGAATATACAATGGCCCATCCATAGCTATCTATCTCAGAGACCTAGTCCCTGCTTCCATGAATGGGGAAACTGAGGCAGAGAGTCCCATGAGAGTCTGAGCTGAGGCTGTTTTACCTCCAGGCCTGAGCACAGTATTTTACAGGGAGCATCTTGTCACGTGACTAGGCCAGACCTCTTGGGGGTCTGGAGAGTCCAGGGGGTCTGTGCTTATTCTGTTTCCTCCCTTCTCCTGCAGTCATCCCAGGGCGGGGGACACAGGACACTCCTGTATGGCCATGCCATCCTCCTCCGGCACGCGCACAGCCGCATGGTGAGTGCAACCTCGACGGGCGTGGGCCAGGGGCGTGGGCCAGGGGCGTGGGCCAGGGGCGTGGGCCAGGGGCGTGGGCCAGGGGCGTGGGCCAGGGGCGTGGGCCAGGGGCGGGGCGTGTGGGGCCTGCTAGGAGGCTGACCTCCCTCTACAATCCTAGTATCTGAGCTGCCTCACCACCTCTCGCTCTATGACCGACAAGCTGGCCTTTGACGTGGGACTGCAGGAGGATGCAACAGGTGCAGACGCTGGAGGGGGTGGGGGTGTGAAGGGGACCCCGCAAGCAGGGATTCAGGGGGTAGAGGGTCTGCAGAACTCCGGGGCAAGCATGAGACTACCCTGGGGACACAAATGGGGGCCTCGGAGCAGAGTCTTCGACAGTCTGGACAGGGAGACTTGGACACACATTGGGGAGCGCTAGGCAGTCTGAAGTCAGGAACAGGAGCTGTTAGGTGGAAAGTGGGTGGCAGTGATAAGAGAGTTGTGGGCCAAGGGCCCGGAGGCCTGGCGGCTGGGAGAGCCCTGGAAAAGAGCACTCTGGGGAGCCATCATCCGGCCCCTCCGCCCCCACCCACAGGAGAGGCCTGCTGGTGGACCATGCACCCAGCTTCCAAGCAGAGGTCTGAAGGAGAAAAGGTCCGTGTTGGGGATGACATCATCCTAGTCAGTGTCTCCTCTGAGAGATACCTGGTGAGCCATCGCAGCTCCTCCTGCTCCCAGGTCTGGGGGCGCATGGGAGGGGCCCCCATCTCCTCACCATGGGTTTGCCTAGCTGGTCTCCCACCCCCAAGGTCCTGACTCCCAATTTCCTGTTTCCTGACCCCTGGCATCCAATTTTCTGATTTCTGATCTCCCATTGCCTGACTTGATCATTTCCTGATCTGTGATCTCTGATGATCCTGTCTCCCATCTGCTGGTTTCCTGGTATCCACTCTTGATTTCCTGCCTCTGACACTGGGACTCTCGCCCACTCCTACAATCATCTCTGATTGCCACATCCTGATGGCCCCCAGCACCTGTCGACCGCGAGTGGGGAGCTCCAGGTTGACGCTTCCTTCATGCAGACACTGTGGAATATGAACCCCATCTGCTCCCGCTGCGAAGAGGGTGAGGGCCCCAGATCTCCTGCCCCTAAATGGAGACACCCCCCAGCAAAACAGACCCTTAATGTTGCCCTTCAGGCATACCCAAATGAAGCCTTGGAACCTCAGACCCCAAACCTAGATCTCCCAATTATCACATTTAGATCTCCAGCTGACCCCAAATCCAGACCTCTCAGGGCTCAGGCCCCCCAAATCTCAAACTAAATATTAGACTCCCAAACTCAGACCCCAAAGTATTAGTCCCCAGGTCTCCTAAACTCAGATTCAAATCTCAAAACATCAAATTTAAAGCTTGTGGCCGGGCGCGGTGGCTCACACCTGGAGTCGTAGCACTTTGGGAGGCAGAGGCAGGTGGAGGTCAGGAGTTTGAGACCAGCCTGGCCAACACAGCAAAACTCCATCTCTATTCAAAACACAAAAATTAGCTGGGTGTGGTGGCACGTGCTTGTAATCCCAGCTACTCAGGAGGCTGAGACAGGAGAATTGATTGAACCTGAGTGGCGGAAGTTGCAGTGAGCAGAGATTGCGCCACTGTAATGCAACATGGGTGAGAGAGCCAGACTCCGCCTCAAAAAAAAAAAAAAAAATTAAAGCTCCTTAATGAACACAGACCCCCAAATTCATACATCAGATCCCCAAACCAAGACTCCAATCTTCAGCCCTCCAACCTCTCAGTCTGTAGACTTCAACTTCAAATCTCAAAAGCCAAAATCCTCGAAATCAAACTCCCAGCTCAGATTCCCAGGCAGACTCAAACTCTCATACTCTGAACTTCAGAGTCCCAAACCAGACCCACACTGGGACTCAGACCACAGACGGCTTTTGATCCCCTAACTCAGACCCTGAAACTCAGACCCATCACTCCTATGTCATACTCCAAAGCTCAGACTTCCACACCCTAGATTATAGCCTCAGACCCCCAACCTCACTTTCCAGCTTCTGACCTCCAAAATCAATACTCAAGGCCAGGCACACCTATAATCCCAGCAGTCTGGGAGCCAAGGCAGGTAGATCATTTGAGATCAGGAGTTCGATCAGGGCCAGCTTGGCAAAATCCCGCCTCTACTAAAAATACAAAAATTAGCTGGGCATGGTAGCTGGCACCTCTAATCTGAGCTACTTGGGAGACTGAGGCAGGAGAATTACTTGAACCCCAGAGGCAGAGGTTGTGGTGAGCTGAGATCATGCCATTGCACTCCAGCCTGGGCAACAGAGTGAGACTCTGTCTCAAAAAGAAAACAAAACAGAAACACCCTCACAATTCAGGCCCTAGCTCCAGAACCTGGCCTCAGACCCAGCCATCACCCTTCTAAGTCCATACACCACACCCAGCCCTGGAACTCAGATCCAACACCAGTGAGCATTAGACCTCAGCCTTGGACCACACACACACTCTGACACCCACCCCAAAAGTCCAAACGCAGAGCCTTAAACCACAGACTCACAACTCCCCCAGTCTTGGCTCTGCAGACCCAGACCCCCCAAATTAGGTGCCCAGCTTCAGATCCCAAGTCTGAACTTCCAATGTCAGAAACCAAAATCCCCCAAATCAAACTTCCAATCCAGCCTCCCATGCTAAGACTCCAAGCATGGCCCAAGTCTCATAGCCCCACTTCAGGCCTCAACCTTGGCCCTAAAATACCCTGTAACTCGGACCTCCAACTGCAAACCCCTAAACCCGGCCCTCAGCTTCCCCCAGGGGAGGAGCAGGGCCCCTGACTTAATCTTGGCTCCTGGGTCTTCCTGGGGCTCCAGCCTCCCGGTGACCACCTTCCCTTGCACCTCTCCAGGCTTTGTGACAGGAGGTCACGTCCTTCGCCTCTTTCATGGACATATGGATGAGTGTCTGACCATTTCCCCTGCTGACAGTGATGACCAGCGCAGGTCTGGGTTGTGGACAAGAGGGCCTGGGGTCTAAGGGTGGAGGTGGAGGGCTGGGACCCTATGAGTAGGATTAAGGACCAGATTCTGGGAGCTGAACCCTGACTTCACTCTCCTGTGTTCCCAGACTTGTCTACTATGAAGGGGGAGCTGTGTGCACCCACGCCCGCTCCCTCTGGAGGCTGGAGCCGCTGAGAATCAGGTAGGTTGGGGAAAGTGGGGCGGGGCCAGGGAGAGGCTGGGGTCGCCTGGCAGCCTGCAAGGAGTGCAGAGGTCTTGAGAGAAGATCTAAGGAAGAGACTGAAGGGTCTCGAGGGAAAATCAGAGCAGCCTAAGAGAGAGAAGAAAGTCTTAGCCATGCGTGGTGACTTCATGCCTGTAATCCCAGCACTTTGGGAGGCTGAGGCGGGAGGACTACTGGAGGCCAGGAGTTCAAAACCAGCCTGGGCAACATCATGAGACCCCCATCTCTGCAAAAATTTAAAAAGTAGTTGGGCGTGGTGGTGTGTACCTGTAGTCCCAGCTACTTTCTGGGGATGAGGTGGAGGATCACTTGAGCCCAGGAGGTCAAGGCTGCAGAACCTGAGCCGAGATCCTGCCACCATACTTCAGTCTGGGTGACACTGCAAGACCCTGTCTCAAAAAAACAAACAACATGAAAAGAGGCTGAGTGTGGTGGCTCACGACTGTAATCCCAGCACTTTGGGAGGCAGGGGCAGGTGGATCACTTGAGGTCAGGAGTTCAAGACCAGCCTGGTCAACATGGTGAAACCCTGTCTCTACTAAAAATATAAAAATTAGCTGGGTTTGGTGGCGCACACCTGTAATCCCAGCTACTCGGGAGGCTGAGGTAGGAGAATCGCTTGAGCCAGGGAGGTGGAGTTTGCGGTGAGCTGAGATTGTGCTACTGCACTCCAGCCTGGACTACAGAGTGAGATCCTATCTCAAAAACAAAGAAAGAAAGAAAGAGAAAGAAAGAAAGAGAGAGAGAGAGAGAGGGAGGAAGGGAGGAAGGGAGGGGAGGAGGGAGGGAAGGAAGGAAAGAAAGAGAAAAAAAAATGAAGTCTCTCTGAAGTCCTAGAGGAAAAGGAGGTTTGGGGGATTATTTTTTTATTTTATTTTTTTTAACAGTATATTGCTTTATCTGGGGTCTTGGGGGAGACACCAGGGAGAGGGAAGAAATCAAAGCACTACAAATGCAGGGTCCAATAATGTTAAAATAGTAAATATGCAAAATGAGTAACTGGAATCATTTTCTTAAGGACTCGACTCATGGAAGGAGAACTTTAATTGTGGTTTCAAAAAACATCTGTATGAAGTAGAAATTGGTTTCAATAACATTAGTAAAGAATATGTTCTAGAAAGTGGAGGTAGCTGGATGTAAAATTCTGGCAGCAATAAAACAGTCGGTTTGGGGGATTTTTAAGGGAGTGACTGGGGGTCCTGAGTACAATGATGGGGAATTTAGGGGTCTGGAAAAAATGGGGGCACTGGACACATTTGGGAAACCCTGAGGAAGCTGTGAGGGCCTGAAAGAGGATTGGGGTTGCTCAGGGAGGACTCGGGGTCCTAATTAAGATTTAGGGTTCCTTGGCCGGCGCAGTGGTTCGTGCGTGTAATCCCCGCACTTTGCAAGGTTGAGGCAGGCGGATCATCTGAGATCTGGAGTTCGGAACCAGCCTGACCAACAAGGCGAAACCCTGTCTCTACTAAAAATACAAAATTAGCCAGGTGTGGTGACGCATGCCTGTAATCCCAATTACTTAAGAGGCTGAAGCAGGAGAATTGCGGGAACCTGGGAGGCGAGGGTTGCGGTGAGCTGAGGTTGCGCCACTGTACTCCAGCCTGGGCAACAGGAGCGAAACTCCATCTCAAAAACAAAACAAAAAAAGAAAGATTTAGGGGTTCTACAAAAGGTTTGGGGAAACTTGGAAGAGGGTTGGGGGCTTGAGGAGGTTTGGACCAAGACTGTAGTGTCCAGGCCAGGTGCAGTGGCTCATGCCTGTGATCCCAGCACTTTGGAAGGCCGAGGCGGGAGGATTGCTTGAGTCCTGGAGTTAGAGATTAGCTTGAGCAACATATCAATTCCTGGTTTCTATTAAAAAAGAAAAAAGAAAAGAAAAGGCTGTAGTGTCCATAGGAGAACTCGGGGTCCTCTGACTCTCCCGGCCCTCGTCCTCCACAGCTGGAGTGGGAGCCACCTGCGCTGGGGCCAGCCACTCCGAGTCCGGCATGTCACCACTGGGCGGTACCTGGCGCTCACCGAGGACCAAGGCCTGGTGGTGGTTGACGCCAGCAAGGCCCACACCAAGGCTACCTCCTTCTGCTTCCGCATCTCCAAGGTCAGTGGGGTTTGTGGTGCCCTCGGGAGCCCCTCAATCCCAGTCCAGCCTACATTCTGCTGTCCCTCAGGGGAGCTCCCCTGCTAAACGCACAGGCAGAGGAGGCTGACCTGTGTCCCCTGCCTCTGCAGGAGAAGCTGGATATGGCCCCCAAGCGGGACGTGGAGGGCATGGGCTCCCCTGAGATCAAGTACGGGGAGTCACTGTGCTTCGTGCAGCATGTGGCCTCAGGACTGTGGCTAACCTATGCTGCCCCGGACCCCAAGGCCCTGCGGCTCGGCGTGCTCAAGAAGAAGGTGGGTGTCATCCCAGCTGCTCAGGAGATTGAGGCGGGAGAATTGCTTGAACCCAGGTGGCAGAGGTTGCAGTGAGCCGAGATCATACCACTGTATTCCAGCCTGAGCCACAGAGCGAGACTCTGTCTCAAAAAAAGAAAAGAAAAGAAACAAAAAGAAATGCAGGGGGTTCCACGGTGAAATGCAGGGGGCTTTATAGATGAGCTGGTGGGGAGGCGGTGTCTGATTTACCTAGGGCATGAAAGACTGCTTGGACCAGGTATGCCGTTTGCATAGGGTGCGAATTTCTGGCTGCCTCCACCCTAAGAAAGAGTATTATATGAGTGGGTCCTCTGTCTGAGCTGCACCGTGTTCCCCATTCCTTTACTCCACACGTGGGGGAAAAAAAAAAAGGAAGATGGAGACTCCATGTTGGACATGCCTAGCCCCCAGGTGTACTTTTTCTATCGGCACATTCCCCGATGCAAGCTTCCAGCTTACTTATGCATGTTTGTAGCTTGATTTCTCAGGCTGCTCTTTGTTAGAAAAGAAATAATTTGGGGGGCTGTTAGAAAGGAAACTCTGCTGAGGACTCTGCTGCCCTTACTATCTGCCTAAATAATCTCTTTCTACCTCTCGTACCAGTGCCATCAATCGAGTTAGGGGACAGTCAGGACAGGGATCTTAGGCTTTACTGCCAGTGCCTAGAACAGAGCCACTTGCTACAGGCTTGCTGAATGGATGAAAGGAAGTCTTGGGGAGGCACCCATTTGCAAAAACAGGCCTGTCATTGAATACATGAGCCGAGGGCATAGAGACGGAGCCTGGGCCGTGTCCAAAGGGGAGACCCATGAGCGTCATCAGCAGATGGATGGTATTTACAGCCGCAGACTGGATGAGTTCCTGGGGAGGTTGGCTCAGGATGAAGCTGTCAGCCGTGATGGTCTCACCTTGTGGAAAGGTGGTCTGACATTCTGTCTGGGACATGTTAAATTTGGGGGCTGGTTAGAGCTTTCTTGGTGGGGGGGGATGTTAAGTCAGCAGTAGGCACAGGTGGAAAGGGTCTGGCCTGGAGACAGAGACAGGAGGGAGGTAGGGATGGAGAGATAGAGAGGGAGAGGCAGGGCAGAGGTGAGAGAGATAGAGAGACAAAGACAGGCAAGACCAGAGAAAGAGACAGAGAGAGACAGAGAGGAGAGACAGAATCAAAGACACGGAGAAGACAGATGACAGGGAACAGAAAAACGAGGAGGAATTTGTAGTGAGATTCTGCAGAGCAGGGAGTAGGAGGCAAATGCAGAACTCAAGTCTGGGCAGAGGTCTGGAGGGCATGGCCCTGGGCAGCTGGGTTCACTCCAGACCTCTGTCCCTCCACTCCTAGGCCATGCTGCACCAGGAGGGCCACATGGATGACGCACTGTCCCTGACCCGCTGCCAGCAGGAGGAGTCCCAGGCTGCCCGCATGATCTACAGCACCAATGGCTTGTACAACCAGTTCATCAAGTGAGCGAGCTGACATCCCTGCCGGGGTGCCTCCCATGCTCTCCTGTGCTTCAGGTGTCCACACACCTGCCCTCTTTCATCTCTACCTCTGATGCTCACACATATACATGGGCCATGTGCAGTGGCTCACGCCTGTAATCCCAAGACTTTGGGAGGCCAAGGCAGGAGGATCACTTGAACCCAGGACCTCGAGAACAGCCTGGGCAACATAGGGGGACCCTGGCTCAAAAAAAAGAAAAAATTAGGCTGGGCTCAGTGGCTCACACCTGTAATACCAGTACTTTGAGAGGCTGAGGAGGGTGGATCGCTTGAGCCCAGGAGTTCGAGACCAGCCTGAGCAACATAGTGAAACCCTGTCTCTACAAAAAAAAATCACAAAAAATTGGCCAGGTGTGGCAGCATGTGCTTGTAGTTGAAGCTACTTGGGAGGCTGAGTAGGGGGCATTGCTTGAGCCAGGGGGCCAAGGCTGCAGTGAGCCACTACACTCCAGCTTCGATGACAGAGACCCTTCTCAAAAAAATAACAATAATAATATATACATGACCCCTAACCTCTAAACTCCTGACCTCTGTACACTTGACCCCTAATCTGACCTTGATAACCATGATCACATTCCTGATCATCACCCAACTTTCACACCCCTGACATCCAGAGCCTGGACCCTGGACCTCTCCATCCCTGAGTCCTGGGAACCCCCCTGTACCTACACAGGAGCGAGTCCCAGTCCCAGCTCTCCCCTTGGCCGCTGTGACCTCAGACCAATGCCTTTCCCTCTCTACGTCTCAGCTCTCCCCCTCTGTAAAACGGGTGGGTCTGGGGGAGTCCTGTGGGGGTGGGGCTGCGGTAGTCAGCGTTCCCAGCCCTGGCTGAGAGCTGCGAGGTCCCTGTAGGAGCCTGGACAGCTTCAGCGGGAAGCCACGAGGCTCGGGGCCGCCGGCTGGCACGGCGCTGCCCATCGAGGGCGTTATCCTGAGCCTGCAGGACCTCATCATCTACTTTGAGCCGCCCTCCGAGGACTTGAAGCACGAGGAGAAGCAGAGCAAGCTGCGTAGCCTGCGCAACCGCCAGAGCCTCTTCCAGGAGGAGGTGAGGCCGCGGCGAGGGTGGGGCGGGGCCGGTGGGTTCAGGGGGCGGGATCACAGAGGGGCGGAGCCACGGCGCTGGACAGGGTGGGACCTGAGGGACCTGGGGAAGTAGGTATTGAGAGTGGGGCGGGGCAGGAGGAAGAGCCGGACAGGAACCCCAGCCAGTGAGAAGGTGAGGGGGCGGGGAGTTGGGAAGGGGCGGGCCTGCTGCGCTGGTGGGGGGGAGCTGTGGGAAGGAGCAGGGCGAATGGCCGAGCGTGGGGCGGGGCCTGGAGTGAAGGATGGAAGAAAAGAGATGAGGGGCGGGGCCTGTGTGATGCTCAGGGCTAGAGTGGGGCCCGGGGAGGTGAGGCCGGGATGGGGCCAGAGATCAGAGGTGGGGCTGCCGACTTAGTGGGCGGGGTCTGCGGGGTGGGTGGACAGAACCAGGGTGGTGCATGGGAGGTGCGGGGCCAGAAATAGATCTTTGGACATTTTGGAGGGGAGGCTGGCTGTGAACAAAACTGAAAAAAATCTCTGTCCTTATGGAGTTGACCCAGCAGAGGGAGACAGGAGATCAGTAAAATAAATAAGTAAATTGTATGGCATATTAGATGGTGATAACTGCTAAAGAGAAAAATTCAGCAGGCAAGGGGCAGGGAGTGTTACGGCTCTGCAGTTTAAGACAGAGCGGTCAGGCAGGGTGACCTGGAGGAAGACAGAAAGAAAACCATGTGCAAAGGCCATGAGGTGGGAAGGTGTTTGGCATGTTCCGGAAACAGCTAGGCAGTGATTGGAGCAGGGAGGCTTGGGTAGGGGAGTGGAAAGAGATGAGGGCAGAGAGGTGACGGGGGACAGGCCTTGGTGAGGACTTTGGCCTTGGGAGTCACAGGTTTTTGTTCTCCCCAGTCACAGCTAGTTAGGGGCAGAGCCGGTCAGTGTGATGCCACCTTGGTTCTGCTCTCCACTTTGAGGCACTGCTCATCTCACTACTGATCGGGGCCCAGGATGCAGATACAACAGTTGTTTTTGTTTGTTTGTTTTTGCTTTTTGAGACAGTCTCACTCTGTCACCCAGGATGGAGTGCAGTGGTGGGATCTTGGTCATTACAACCTCCACCTTCCGGGTTCAAGTGATTCTCCTGCCTCAGCCTCCCGAGTAGCTGAGACTACAGGTGTGCACCACCACGCCCGGCTAATTGTTGTATTTTTAGTAGAGATGGAGTTTCACCATGTTGGCCAGGCTGGTCTCGAACTCCTGACCTCAGATGATCCACCTGCCTCAGCCTCCCAAAGGGCTGGGATTAGAGGCATAAGCCACTGTGCCCAG